CTTGGTGATGAGCATGGCAAGTCCTGAAGCAAAAGTCTTCAGTACAATTTCTAATATCTTCTTCGTGGTATATACTTTGCAGTATCTCATGCCATCAGCTATTTCCAGAATGAATCAATTTGGATGGCCAATTGCATCTGTAATACTGGAGACATTTGGAGGAGGCCAAGATGGATCATCCACTCGGCACTTCTGACTGAAAATTGTTACAAATACTTTAGCCTTATTGTTTGAACTGAAAACAAAGATGTGCAGGGCTCCCCCATCATTGAAGATGGGTTTATTTGTCGAGCCTCCTCCTCCAATGAGTTGTTTAATTGTCCACCATTCACAGCTGGATGTGACAAAACTATGGAGCTTAGATCTGATCCATTGGTTAAGTGTTTGCTTAGCTGTGTCTATTACTTGCTGCTTGTGCTGTTTGGCATGCAAGTCATCCTGTTTGGTTAGCTTCACCATGTTGCCGTCCTGCACTCCCCATTGAACCAGAGTTGATCATCTGGCTGATGGTAATAGTAGAATGGACCAGGAAATGAGAGATTTTGTTAGTGTACAATTTTGCAGCTGCTGATGGCCCTCACGCATCCTGGACTATTCAGAAATTGAACCTCCTATTATCTGGTTAGCCAATTCTGAAATACTGGGGCAGCTGGACACCATATTTACATAATTAGAGTTCAGGCAATGGGAGGTTGCTTATGGAATTAAAGGAGATGTGTAGACATAAACTAGGAGGTACAAAGTTAGCCAAGCATGACTTGGATGTTGGGGATTTATGCACCAATCGAACAATATCTTTATCATTTACTTCTGGGGAAGCTGGTAAAAATAGATATTCAAGCTTGAATCATGCATATTTTTGGCTCAGTGTCAATTGTGTCACATTTTTGGAGGATTTTTCACTGCGAAGCTGAGTGATTCTTTTCCTGCCTTATCTTATCAGACTTGATTAATTAACTACCTGGCCTTCTTGTATGGTTTCCCTCTTATCCGATCCTATCCCAATCTTACTATGTTCCAATTCTGAAACAACTTGTCACCTCCATTTATCGTGGCGTTAACCAGCTGCCCCTAGTGCTGGTGCAAACATTAAAACATCCATTTGCTTCATTTCTGTTTACAGGAAGTCAAGTGGCTTTGGAGAAAAATAGTCAAATAAGCTTTCAAGAAGCTAAGGGCTGAGGTTTATTGCTTTAATATCTTTACAAATCTGGCTTTGAAAGACTAGGGGGCCTCTATGCTAATAGTTGCCTCCCTATCCTTTTTGGACTTAGAATTCTGCTTTACAAGCAGGAGTTAGTAAAGAGGACAACTGAAAAGCCTTGATTCTGTTTACATTATATTTCTGGAGCACACTAAATACCTAAGGCACTGTGCAGGAGCATTACCAATTACCAATATACTGGAATGTGTAAGGAAATGAAAGGGTGAGTTTAATCCTTTATTTCCTCCTCAACCAGACAAAACTCATGCTCCTTTGTTCAATTGTTTATTCATGCTGCATGGAAAATGTACACATCAATGTGGCACACGGCTTAAAACTTTATTATAAGAATAAAGGTTTATACCATTTTTAGAGATAACGAGCTTCTAATTGATTATTCCTACAGATAATATTTTCCAATCAAAATGTTGCATATTTACTGCTCATATCTTTACTCAACCGCATGTGATTGGTTCACATCCCAAGTTCACGCATATGACCATTGTCCAATCATGTTCAAACTAATACCCATGGTTATGTTATCCACATATGTCATTATGTGTTCACAGCTCTGAGCTGCAATATGTGCTTATGATTACAGAAAGCCTACACTGTTTATTCCACCCCAGCCATCAGTGTCCCCATTGACCCCTGGCAAGTGCCCAAGTGAAGAAGGGTCTAGGCCCGAAACGTCAGCCTTCGTGCTCCTCTGATGCTGCTTGGCCTGCTGTGTTCATCCAGCTCTGCACCTTGTTATCTCAGATGGTCCAGCATCTGCAGTTCCTACTATCTCTAGACCAAATATTCAGATGGCCAGTCATCCAGAATTAAGCGGAGTCTTAGGCTACTGAACGGACATTATTCCTTGTATGCTCCATTCCGCTGTCAATTCAAGTCCACCTTCTCTCCTCCTGTCTTTTTCCTTCAATAAGCAAAGGATTATTTGGATGGTGCAGTGGCTCAGTGGCGAGCACTACTGCCTCACAGTGCCAGGGACACCGGTTCAATTCCACCCTCGGGTGGCTGTCTGTGTGGAGTTTGCACATTCTCCCCTTGTCTGTGCGGGTTTCCTCCGGGTGCTTTGGTTTCCTCCCACAGTCCAAAGATGTGCGGGTTAGGTCGATTGGCCATGCTAAATTGCCCATAGTGTTCAGGGATGTGTAGATTAGGTGGGTTATAGGGGGATGCATCTGGGTAGGATGCTCTGAGGTTCGGTGTGGACTTGTTGGGCTGAAGGGCCTGTTTCCACGCTGTAGGGATTCTATGATCTATAGTTAAGAAAACCTGCTGATCCACTCATGTTCTGAATTGACTTGTTTTCATATCTTTCGCCTGTTCATCTTTGCCCGCTTAAGATGCCATTGTCTTCACTAATTTGTATTACAGTAATCCCTTGAGTGTGCTAACAAATTTGTTAATTTGTCAACAAGTTGAAAATATTGGCACTCCCGACACTTTCCGGTTCTTACCAACCCTCAGTGAGGGAATAGTCATTGTGTGAAAAACAGCGAGGAAGGAGTTTGGTGGAAGAAGTCAGTAAGAGAGGAAAAGAGTGAGAGAGGTGTGAGTGATAGAGGTACCAGTTAGGAATGAGTTACGGTGCGGGAGGGAATGGTCAGTGAGGACAAGCAGCAATGAGGTGTCAGTGAGGGAATTGTCAGTGAGAGACAGACCAGTGAGTGAGGTTGCAGTATTGTCGGCAGACGGGTTAGAGAGGGAGGGCTTAGGGTGCGATGTTGTCCAGGATAGGTTGAATGGCTAAAATTGCTAATGATACTGGACAAGCTGCATGACCTTGAAAGAGTCCTGTGAACATTCCTTCACCAGCCGAAGATGACACCTGCACTTGTTTTCCCGTCCGGTGTTTTCTGTACCGGCCAGCAGTTTTGTCTTTCTGTATCTGTTTTCTTTGTGCTGGCTGTTTGCCACACTGTATAGGAAAGTTTCGTTCCAAGCTGCTGCTGCTGCTGGACTTTGTTTCGGCTCTGAATCGTGAACAGTTCGAGGAACGAACCTAAGCCTCCAGACCAGTCATCGACTGAGGGGTCCCCGACAGGCAGAAGAACATGAGACTCTTTGCTTTTTTCTAGAAAGGCGTGAGACTTGTTGCTTTTTTTTTTCTCTTTTCCATTTACCATTACCACGAAAATAATTTATTATTGCCATTACAATCAATTATTATTACTTAATAAACATTCAGATTTAAGCAAATTGCTGTGATTGAGCCTTCTCAATTATATTTACTCGAATCTGAAAAGAACTGCTTGGATACATGCTCTGACCAAAGACAGATGGCTCATTGAGAGAGGGGTCAGTGAGGTAGGATGATTCTTTATGTTAATCATTACCATTCTTTTTTGGCTTTTGTAGCCTGAAACCATTTGTCCTTTAATATATCCTGCCCTCCTACTTTCACAGATGTTCCCATTTTAAACAATACACCTGTTGAGAGAGTGATGGTGAAGTTCCCCAACCACAGAATGTGCAATATTGGGTCATGCACACAATTGGTGTATCCCAAATGTACAATATTGTAAATGATTAACCTTTTCAAAATAAATCATACCATGCTCCAATGATAATTGAGAGCAGCCAATATTCATTGGAGCATATGTTTAAGAATTGTTTTTCACCAGTTAACAGAGGATGGGATCTTTCTCCTGAATGGACCCCAATGTAGAAAGACTGTTCCCACCAGGCCCCCTGCCCCATTACTTCTTGACCTCTCAAATCCAGTACCCCCACTCCCACCCCTCCACCTCCATCGCTCAATGGTGACTCTCAGTTTTGCCTTTAAGAGACTCCCAAACACTTGCCTTCAACCTTGATCCAGTGTCTGAAGCAATGGAGAGCTCAGAACTGATACTTCTGTTTGGCTGACAGCTGGCCATCTTAGTCTAGAGGAGAGGAAGTCCAGGCTCAACGCTCCCAATTATGGTGAGGAAGTCTTCATTCCACTGGGTGGGCTATTCCCTAACATATTAGATGGGGTGAGGGTCAGGAAGGCAGCACCCCACATAGGACCTTGTTAATAGTACAATAGCTCAGAGGCTACAGGGAGGAACTGAGGTTATTCATGTTGGTCTCTTGCCAGTAGCTGGTACCTAGCACTGGTGTGATTCTGTGAAGATATTGAAGGCACTGCTTCTTCTAGGACGGTCAATCTTCCATCTTCTGATTGAGTGAGCACAAGAGTGATCTCTAGATGTATCTGAGTGGAAATAATTGCTCCTTCAGTCCTCCACGGCCACAACGAATAAACGACAGAATCTAAGGAAACAACAATTCTGATGGAAGGTAGTTTTTAAAGTTGGAATCTTGAATATAGGTTTAGAATAACTAAACCAGGTTTAAAATGAGTGTTTAAGTTTTTAATCTGAAGTTTTATTAAGTCTGAAGTTTTATTTCTGATATGTTCAGTGAGTTGTCTGATAAAGAGAGGCATGGCAGGGCATATAAATCCATCATTTGCAGCCTGCATCAAGTGGGAACTCCTGGACACTTTACATGATCTGAAAAAATGCACATTTGCAGTAATGGTTCCCTGTTGGAGCTGCTCAAGCTTGCATATTCGGAGTTTAAAGAGCAGCTTGCATCACTGTGACATGTCCGTGAGGCTGAGAGCACGATGGATAGCTCACGTGATCATCTTGCAACTTCAGAGACTCCAGGTCGAGAAGTAATGGGTGACTACCCCTCAAGGAGGATCACACAGGTTGTCTCCTCAGTACATCTCACTTCCTGACTGTTCTACAGCCTATATACTGACGAGAGTGATGGTTCCTCTCGGGATTGGAATCAGAGAGAAGTCAATGGTCCAGAGTATGGATCAGCTGTACAGAGGGACAAAATGAAAATTGGGAAAACATAGGTAATGGGGACTTCATTAGGGGGATGGAAAGATCCTTCTGTGAGTGCAGATGTGAATATAGGAAGGACTTCAAAGTTTTGGTAAAGATCTGTAGGAAGAAATGCTGCCTCCCTAATGTTGATGAGCAGCTGTACAGTACCCTGACATAAAAAGGTGAATAACCAACAGTCAGCATCTATATCAGTTGCAACAACAACTGATGCTGTGGGCAGATCTTAGGAAATTCCGATCTGGCACTGAGGGAGAAGTGAAGCTCTGGAGAGCTGGGAGTGACTGTGGAATTGTCTCTGTAAGTGCTATGTATCCCCAGAAGCATAATGCCCATTGGGAGGGCGTTCATCAGACATATTTTGGTTATGATCATGAGTAAATGTCAAAGTATTTTAGTGTTCAGGTATTAAGAATAATATTATGGGTTTTAGGGTGTTACAGTTAGCTTTAAGGTGTTAAGACTAATATGTGAGAAATTGTGGTCCAGGATATTAGGAGTTTTTTAAATCATTCACAGGATGTGGGTGTTAAGGGGACAACTTATTGATTGATTAACTGATTGATTGATTGACTGATTTCTGTCTAATCTCTCACAATCCAACTTTTGTAAACTTGAGATCCGCCATGTCTTAACTTCCATCAAATCTCACTTATTCAGAATCCCTATGTACAATGTTAAAATTCTAATCCTTGGTCTCAAATCCTTTCATGACTTCAGCCCTCCCTCTCTCTGCAAATCCCAATGATCTTCTCGGAGCTCTTCACGCTTCCAATTCTCACCTTTGAGCATCCTCAATTTTAAATAGACAACCATGTGTCTCACTCTCCCAAATCTTTTACATGGATTTTCAAAAGGTGTTCAATACAATGTTATACAACAGAATTGTGAAGAAGGATTTTGGTCATGGAATAAAAGGGACAGTAGTAACGTGGGAGCATAATTGACTGAGGGATAGGGAACAAAGTACAATAGTGATTGGGGGTAGTAAGTGCCGATGCTGGAGTCAGAGATAACACAGTGTGGAGCTGGAGGAACACAGCAGGCCAGGGTGAAGAAGGGTCCCGAATTGAAATGTCCACTTTCCTGCTCCTCTGATGATGCCTGGCCTGCTGTGTTCCTCCAGCTCCACACAATGGTGAATGGGCAATTTCAGACTGGAAGAACGTTTGTAGCGGAGTTCCACAGGGATTAATACTGGGACTCTCACTTCTCCTGTTATGTATTTTAATGATTTTGATCTTGGTGTGCAGGGGACAATTCCAAAGTCTCCAAACAGCACAAAATTTGAGAATTATAAATTGTAGAGAGGACAGTGTAGAACTTCAAAAAAGACATTGACAAGTGGTGGATTGAATGGATAGGTGGCGGATGAAGTTCAGTGTAGATAACTGAGAGGTGAAACACATTGGTAAAAATAACAAGGAGGGATCATAGAAAATAAAGGGTCATGTTCTAAAGGAAGTGTAAGAGCAGAGAGACCTGAGTGGCTGTGTACATGATTCATGAAATGAGGCAGGACAGGCCATGGGAGCAGTTAATAAAACAGACAGCATTTTGGATTTCATTAACAGGGGCATAGAATACAAGATCAGGGAGGTTATGCCACACTTTCATAAGGCACTGGTTAGACCTCAGCTGGAGAATTGAAAAGACTTTTAGTTTTAAGGGTACATTGGAGAAGTTGAGACTATGTTCTTGGAGAAGTAAAAACTCAGGGCAGATAAAACAGAAGTCTTAAAATCCGAAGGGGTTTGTCCATGGTTGAAGTCTACAAGAGAAACATTTCTTACTGGATAAAGATCATAAACAAAGGACGCCGTGTTAAAACACTTAGCAAAAGAAGCAGATATGAGGTGAGAAAAATGTTTTCACACAGGTTAAGATATGGAATGTAGTGTCTGGGGATGTGATGGAGGCAACTTACTGTGGCAGTGGCAAATTTAATTGAAGCATTCAAGAATGCATTAGATTATTTCTATTGAAATAACCATCCACAAGGACCTGGGGAAAAGGGAGTAGATTAGCATAAAGTTCAAATACTCAAAAGAGCCAGCACAGACATGGTTGCCTGACTGAGCGCCTTCACACCATAACGTTCCTGTGATTCTGTGATTCTGTGATATAAAAAAAGTCTCAAATCCCCAAAGTTATTTTCTTCTATGTATGACTTATGAATTAAAATATTTACAAATGAAGATTCATTGTAAGCAAATCAGAACAATGATCAAGAGAAACTTTGCTGCAGAGAGATAAAAGCAAAATACTGCAGATGCTGGACATCTGTATTAAAAGCAGAAGTTGCTGGAAATGCTGGAGCTTAGCTGGCCTGAGAGCATCTATTGAGAGAGAAACCAAATTAAAATTTTAAACTGGATCTACTCCTTCTTCAGGTAAAGAGAGCTGTGAAGTTGCAGCAGAATTAGTGATTGGGTTTGACTGTGATAAGTGGCCCTCTGGTTTTTAATCCACGATCAGACTCAGTCTCATTATTCGCTCCAAATATTAGCAGGATGGTTCATATTAAGGAGTGTTGAATGTCAGGGAGCTGCACGGGCAGTATATTAAATATAAACAAATATCAATATAGTTTATCTTTATCTATTTCCATTTTAATTAAGTGGAGCAATAACAAAAGCTAGGATGCGGGGTAGCATGGTGGCTCAGTGGTTAGCACTGATATCTCACAGCGCCAGGGACTTGGTTTGACTCCAATCTCAGGCAACTGTCTGTGTGGAGTTTGCACATTTTCCCTGTGTCTGCAAGGGTTGCTCCAGTTGCCTCCCACAGTCCAAAGATGTGCAGGTCGGTGGATTGGCCATGCTAAATTGCCCTGTAGTGTTCAGGGATGTGCAGGAAAGGTGGACTAGTCATGGGCAACACAACATTGTAGTGTAGGGTGTGAGTCTGGGTGGGATGTTCTTTGAAAGGTCAGGGTGGCCTTGATGGGCCTGCTTCTGCCCTGTAGGGATTCTATGATTTTCTCACCTCGGCACAGAATAGAAAATGATTTTGACTAAGGTCCTGATCAGAATAACCTATCTCATTCTACATTAAACATAATGAGCAGTAATGTTGATTGGTGAAATGTCCAGGGAATGATATCACTCTCTGCTCAGTGCACTCTTCACTAACTGGTGCACAGTTTCCAAATGCTGTCTCAGTGAATCCGACAGCAACTTGTAGCTAAAAGCAAAGGATGACACTGCTCCAAAGATAGACTGGGTCATCGGACTGAAGCTATGTCTGATCCCAGTTATTATGCAGGTGACGAGGGTGATTCCGAACAGGATCTTGGTAAATACTGGTCGTATCTTACTTGGCAATTGGCAGTTCATTTCAGCTTTCAGAATGGAACATGGCTTGGAGATTTTGCTGGCCAAATTTTGCAGAAACTTATCACTGATTCCCAGCTGTTTCTGAAGGTATATCAATCCAGCCATTGTTAACCCATTACAAGTAATGATAAACAACACTGGCACTGGCACTGCACCTACTGCTCCAGCAAGAATGACCAATATCCAGACTCTCTTCCCTAACATCCTTTGTTTGTATTCTGTAATTTCTGTCATAATCTTTGGGATTGACAGTGAAAAGATGTTTAATTTAATGCTCAGGAGATCCCTGGCGAGTGTGTTCTTTAATTCAGGAAAGTCATATTCCTCTCGATCGAAACTAGAAATCAGAAAAATAGCTGGTGGTGCAACCCCTACACTTTGGAAGTTACTGACACAGTCTCTGCGGATTCTGTCCCAGCCTTCATTAAGGTTAGCTCCCTGTCTCTTCAGTGACCAGGCATCATTGTCTATTTTGGTCCGGACATAGTAAAACTCTTTGCCTTGATCTTGAATCTTTTTGGCAAGATCTGCATCATTTTCTCTGAATCGAGACTGAGAAATAATAATGAAAAAGTCATAACTTTCAAAATTCACCTTCTTTAGGTAATGATTTAGTTCAAACCCAAAGGAATTTGTTCCTGGAAGATCCCAGAGTTGGACATGAGGCAGAAAATGATAAGGATACTTGGTTGGCTCAATCCTGGTTTCTTCATTCCCAGTTGGAGCAGCTCCTTGGTCATCACTCTGAAGTCCTCTCATTGCATTAATGAAGGTGGACTTCCCTGAGCCCACATCCCCCATCACTGCAATGTTCAGCTGCATGTGGTTTAAATTGTCAGACTTCTTCTTCATCTGAAGAATCACAGCTTCCAAATGCCCCGTATTGTACTGATGTTGTAGGTTCCTACTGTCCTGAGGAGTGAAGAACTTGGAGAGAGTGGACTGGGCCATTTGATCTCTGCAGAGAACAACAGTACACAAATGTCACACATATAAGTTCAGGAATATTTGAGAAGTTTCGCCAGTTTAGGAAATTGATATCTGGCTCCAAGTGAGTGATTTTGTAGCAACATTTAAAAGAATGATCGTTGGAATTTAAGTCATCAATCTGAAACATGGTTTGAAATTTCACACCCAACCCTACTCTCCCCACCCTCCACAAACTCCCTGGGAGTGTGCTAGCAAACAGTACTTGTGTAAAATCAGGTGTGACAGTGAAGGAGGGATGTTCTGTTCATTGCACACCTGCTCACATAGAATTTTCCCAGTGTATCGGTGTCCACAGCACACCCACCCTTCAGCTAATTAAGACCCATAAGTGGCACATTAATGGCCACTTCATGGCTACTAGCCCTCAAGTTGGCAGCTCTTAGATGCAGAGGATGGAGCCACAACGTCAGGCAATGAATAGGCTGAGCTACACAAAATGGCAACATGCCTTTCAGGGCCAGTGGAGGGATCTCACCCTGACTTTGAAATGGGAGGCCAATGGCTCCACATTAAATTCCCTCAGCCTTTCACACTGCTCCTCTCTCAGTAAAGAAGCCACCTAACCTGCTGAGTTCTTCCAGCATTATGCTACTTTATTTCAGATATCCAGCTTCCTCAGTACTTTTCAAAGTACTTGGCTAATAAACAACACCAAGAAGACACTGTGCCCCCCAACACACTGGCCATCCCATCCCTTTGTTAGAGACATATTGGAACTGACTACAAGACTTCAATGATGTCTTAGAATATGATAGCACACAAACCATCAGCCACACTTCACCAGCTACTCTCAAAGACGAAAGGTCCAATACCCATAATGAGCAGGGTGAATATGATATACAAAATACCATTCGCCAACTGCAAAAAGCAATAAGTAGGATAGATGGGCAGGAAACTCGCCACCAGAATACACGAACACAACTCGCAACAAAGAAGGACATCAGGTTAACTGGGACAACATAACAGCACTAGGACAAGCAAATCAAAGACAAGCACGAGCATTCCTGGAAGCCTGGTTTTCAACCACTGGTGCCATAAACAAACATGTTGAAATGGATCCCATCTATACCACTACGGTGCAAAACTGGAAACAGAACTACCCACCTTAACAGAGCGGACCATATAAATTCAGAACAGAACAGAACAACAGCACTTCAATGGAGGCGAGACAACACTGAAGATGTCTCCTAGAAGGGGATGAAATGTTTACGTGAAAACCAGTCAGCTCGGCGAACCAACCAACATCTCCAATGATGCTATGACCGATGGCAATTCCAGAACATCAATGCTTTGCTTCTGTTCATGTAAGACTGCTGCATGTAAGACCATAAGACATAAGATATAGAAGCAGAGTTAGGCTATTTGGACCATCGAGCCTGCTCCACCATTTAATCATGGCTGATATGTTTCTCAACTTATTCTCCTGCCTTCTCCCCTTAACCCTTATTAATCATGAACCCATCTATTTCAGTCTTAAATACATTCAATGAATTTGCCTCCACAGCTCTCTGTGACAATGAACTCCACAGATTCACCATCCTCCTCATCTCAGTTCTAAATGGTTGCCCCTTCATTCTGAAGTTATGGTCTCAGGTCCTTATCTCTTCTAGTCATGGAAACATCTTCTCCATATCCACGTTATCCAAGCATCTCAGTATTCAATCAGATACTACTTGTCCTCATCTTTCGAAACTCAATCAAGTACAGACCCAAAGTCCTCAACTGCTCATCATATGATGAGCCCTTCACCCCTGGGATCATTCTTGTAAACCTCCTCTGGACTTCCTCCAACTCCAGTACATTATTCCTTAGATATATTGCCCAAAACTACACACAATATTAGAAATGCAGTCTGACCAGAGCCTTATACAGCCTCAGCAGTACATCTCCACTCTTGTCCTTTCGCCGTATTGAAATGAATGCTTACGTTACATTTGCCTTCCTAACAGCCAAATAAATCTGCATGTTAACCTGAAGAGAATCCTGAATTAGGAGTCCCAAATTCCTTTGTGCTTCACATTTTCAAATCCTTTCCCCACTTACAAAATTGACTATGCCTCTATTCTTCTACCAAAGTGCATAAACTCATATTGTCCCACATTGTATTGCATCTGGCACTTCTTTGCCCACTCACCTACCCTATCCAGGTGCTTCTGCAACCTCCTCACTTCCTCCATTATTACCCTGTCCCTCCACCAATCCTTGTGTAATCTGCAAACTTAGCAACAATGTCTTCAGTTCCTCCTCCACTGACCACTTTGGATCTCCATTAGTCACCAGCTGCCATCCTGAAAAAGACTCATTTATCCCCCAATCTCGGCCTTCTACCAGTCAGCCAACCCTCTATCCATGCCAGTACCTTGCCCCTAACACCATAGGCTCTCATCTTATTTAGCAGCCTCTCTGTGGCACCTTGTCAAAGGCTGATTTTATGGTTGAAAATGTGGTCTCCAACTTTCCAGGAGACAGTTTCCTTTCCAATATCAGCCTCAGTTCAGCTATAACAGCCCCTCCTCTCAGTCAGAGCGTCACGACCCACTCCAGACACTTTTATTTAA